GAAAATAGAAATCCATGATCAACAATGAAGTTCTAGAAACCTTCAGAACTGCATGTATTATGTTAATATGAACTTACTATCAATTTCAGTTAATTTCCATCATGAACCAAAGACCTTGGTCAGAATTAAAAGAGCTGATTGGTTACTGGGTTGCAAGCAATTGGATTTGCTATACATTACATGCCACCACCAACTTTTAAAATTCCAGGATAGGAACCCTGGTATTCATTATTTCAGGAATATATGGAAGTCAAACTATAAAACATGTGAAAAAGAAAATATTTATGGAGTTCCCAGGTCTCGGAGCTGTTGAGCTCTTCCAGACCCTATTCAAAATGGGTGCTTCTCAATAAACTAGGCATAGGACTAGGGGTGAAAATGTGCAAAATCGCCACAAACAACATGTTACTATTCCAGAACCATCACAGAAAATCCCAACATGTGGTCCGAATGATCTGTAAGGGTCCCAGTCCTCATGCTCTGATGGATGCCTCTGCTGCCAGGCAGTGTGGAGTCTGGCTACACTCCAGGATTGCAGTTGAAACAAAAATATCCCTCAAAACTCAGTTTGGTTGGGATTTACCACAGCCTTTGGTTTGGAACTTTCCAGTAATGCCCAAAATAATTCGACCTGAGACACACTGGCTGACCACCACCATCACTAACTCCTGGGAGAACTGTCTGGAAGCAGGCTGAGGCTTCCTGGGCTGACCACCCAGAAGAGTGAGTGGAGAATAACACAATAAGTGAATGAAAATGGGGTGGGCAGACCAGGAGAGAGTGGCCAGAAGAAGGGGCTGGTAAAGGTGTGCTGAGCCTTGAGAAAACTGGCTTTATCAACCAGGTATAGGTGCCCTCTTGATGGAAGACTTCACCATCTATGAGCTATGCTTGCCAGAAAATTAAACAGGAATTTGTTCAAGCCTCTAGACTTAGCTACCATGTCACAGGAAACATAGTTGACACTAGAACATGTTAAATGACACCCCAGGTATGCAGTCACTAATGTACAGATTACAGAAAACTCTAGAGGACAACCTGGGCCCTTCAACAAATAGGGTAGGGCAGAAGTAGGTTTATAGTTGTGAGTACCTGAAATATTTGAATTAGTATTTATTAATTATTATATTATTTTCCATATGCACAACTGTAAAAATGCTTTTGCCCCACCTTGTATGTTGCATTAATTTTTTTAAGAAAAATACTTGAGGGAAAAACTATTTATTAAAATGCATTGACCTTGTCCAGCAGGTGTGGCTCAGTAATTGGGCATCAACCTATGAACCAGGAGGTCACGTTGTGATTCCCAGTCAGGGCATATGCCTGGGTTGCTGGCTTGACTCCCGGAAGGGGCATGCAGGAGGCAGCCAATAGATGATGAAACATCTCATTGATATTTCTATCTCTCTATTCCTCTCTCTTTCTCTCTGAAATCAATAAAATATATTTTTAAAAATGCATTGACCTTATTATTCGAATACTGACTTAAACAAGCTGAAAGAGGAAGAGAGAATAGAAATGTTTATTGTTTTAAGTGGTTTTAGACTACTAAATTACAAAGTAACATATTACTCAGCAATACATACCAATACAGAAATCGACCCTGAAAACTATGACTGGAGTCTGAGAATTAACAAAAACAGGAGTCTCTCTGAGTTCAGACTTGGATTCAAATTTTGGAACCCACAACTTGCTAACCTGGGGAAAGCCATTTAGACTCTCTCTGAAAAGCTGGGACCTTCAAGTTGTAAAATAGAGGTAAAAATGACTAATGCCCAGGGTTACTGTAAGAATTTAAAGACAAACGTGCTTAGCACATTGCCTTGCACAAATAAAGGAAAAGTGATTTTTGCATCATCACATTAGCAGTGCTCATTTTGAAATGGCCTCACTCCCACCCCCAACACAGAAGATGATTTCCCAGAATAGGCCAGTCCGCATCTCCTCCTACTAGAAGGCAGATGGAGGGTGGCTCCAGAGTACAGTGAGCCAAGTCTTGTACCACGGTCTCCATTGAGCATCTGTTTCTACCTTTTTCAGTCTCAGGGCCTCAGTCTACACAAGATGCTGCATGTTGCAGTGCTGGAATGTGAGCCCAGGGAAGACACGCAGGAAAAGGGAGCCTGAAAAACTTCCGGGGTGCTTACAGACAGGCTTGAAAATGGGATATGGAATGGGGGCATCCACATGAAATTTAAATGTAACGGTGTTTCCTCTCCTCAGTTCCCCAACACAGAAAGAGGTTGGCTCTGAACTGGCAGCCTTACTTTCATTTGTCATTATACTTTACACACATGGAAATTTTAATGTCTAAAGATGGGAGGTGATTATAAGAATAGAGCTACACATGTTTTTTTGGCAGCCCAGTCACCAGCACTTAAGTTCACTTCTGACAGTTCTCAGTATCTAAAGACCTGTAAGCGCTGAACTGCCGCCTGCCTATCCAGGAGAGATTTCACTGGCAGGATTTCAAACGTTGAAATCACTCGCTTTTTTTATGCATATTTTCCCCACCACAATATTTCTCTAAAACATGTAAAACACTGTACTCTCGAGAGACATCAAAAAAGAGGTTTGTGGTACAGGGTTTGCTAAAAGGAAAATCACCCTTGTTTCTGAACCCAGAAATATACAAATTCAAAGTCATTTGCTAAAATCTAAGATTAGGGCAAAATGGGTGATAGCTTTCTCTAAGAAGTTGGGGCTTGGTGATTACAAAAGGCAGTTGAATGTGATGATTTTTGAACTACTTAATGGTTAAAAACTAATGGTCCTGTTAAGACTTGGAACACAGTGCTATTATGTAACAGTTGGCTCTCTCCAGCAGAACCGCCTGCTCACAATGCGGTCTGACACAGAATGGGAGGACGTGAGGAGAGGCAGTACATCTAAGCTCTTGCTGGAGCAGTGTGGTGTCAGGAGCGGGCAAAAAAGTCAGAGCTTGATAAAAACCCTACATTTGCTGCCAACCTGCCAAGTGAGCCTGTGAAAGTCACTCACTTTCTCTGATCTTGGTTTCACCCCATGTAAAAGAAAGGACAGTTCGGCATGGAGGGGAAGCAGGAGTAAGGAACCCCACGGGATCAGAGCCCCTCTGCTTCCCAGCCAGCTGCCTTCAAATAACTGACCTACTCTTTTGGTCTCCCATTCTGCATCTGTATAACGGAGATACCACACATCACCTACCACAAAGGGTTGCTTTGAGAATTAAACCAGAAAATGTATGCAAAGGGTTCTTAAGTGTGAGGCCCATAATAACCACTCATAAATGAGCTGCTACTGCTGCTATTGTGATTACTCTTATTACTATTACCTTTCGAAACAAAACACTGCTTCCTGACAACTGAGATTCTGGCTTGCTTCAGCATAACTTGGCTTCCAATGGTCATCCCTCTCTTCCCAAAACCGGGAAAAGTGCCTGAGGCTTTGGAGACACTTACTACATGTATGTTAAGTGAATGAACACGTAGATAAATAAATGATAAAGGTGTAAGTGAGCAAAGTAGCTTTTACTTAAAAGCTACTGGTGCCCTGGCCAGTTATGCTCAGTGGTGAGAGCATTGGCCTGTGGACCAAAGGGTTGTGGGTTTGATTCCTGGTTGGCCTCTCTCCCCTCCACTCTCTGTTTGAAAGAAAAAAAAATCAATAGAAAAAATATCCTTTGGTGAATATTAAAAACTACTGCTGCACCCAAACTTGAGGCTCCTTGAGAGCTCTGGGAAGGGCCAGCGCTAATATTGCCAAACACTACAGAGAGCATACATGGTAGGGCTCACCCAGGCCTGCTGGCAAACTAGGGTTGTTATCCAAGTATTCCTGTGAGTGCGCAGCCTGCACTTAGGGGACGGTGCAAGTCTCATTGAGGACTCTAACTCAGTCCTTCAACCTCCAGGACTCAGGCCACTTGCCTGATCCAGAAATGGATTCAGAGAACAGACTCCTTAACCGTCTAAAATTGCTGAGTGGGAAATTGAGGGAAACATGAGAAGAATTGGATACTGGACAGCACTGAGGGGTCAGATCTACATAGTGCTATATAAATATTTGGTTTAGGATACCTCCCCTTACACCCATCGTTCATGATCCTAACAGTCTAATGCAAAGATAGCTTGTCATGCATCAGAGTTCTCCAAATTCAGTCAAGAAAACTGGTGCCACCTTTGGAACTATCTTATCCTTGGCACCTCTACTAATATTAACTTAATCCTCATGTTTAATAATTCAACCCACTGAAAGTTACTTCTTAATGAAACTCAAACCCCTATGTTAAATAAGAAGCCAGTATTGCCTGTCCTAAAAATTATGAGAGAACCATAAAAATAAACACTTGGACACAAAATATTACCATTAAAATGGAGGTAACCACCACTGCTTGCCTCAGCATTGGATCTGAGGCCTGATCTCTGTCTGAAAGAGAGGTTAACATGCCATGGTATAAAAATGTGTCAGCCTCTGGCCAAGGCTTCCTCCTTCAGGCATTCTGAAAGACTAAAAAAGAATGAAAAAAAGGAGTACGTTTTTCATGATGGGAGTCCATGTTTTTGGAGCCACATTCACACACCACCGTAAAATCATGGCAGGTTTGAAAAACAGTGGAACCTCCTTCTCACGCTCTGATCCCCAGCTCCCTTGCCGTACTGGATAGCTGAGGTGTCCTCTTGCTGAGTGCAATGAAAATGTTCTTTCCCTTGACTTGGAGACTACAAAAATGTCCATAAGCAGGATGTACCTTATGATCATCTGGCTTTTATTAGCCACTTTTAATAGTGCTTTAATTGTGTCTTTTCTTTTTATCTGGGAGGCTGTTAATAGATGGATGACACATATCATAATGAGAGTCAGGAAAATATGGTGCACCTTAACCGGGCCAATATAAATGAGCCTCCAGCTTGGACGCCAAGACAACACCACAGCATTGCGTTCTCCCAGTTATGTTCATCTGATAAAGACATTACAATAGTAAGATATTATGATCTATAACCCTCCACTAGAACACTCACACATTCTTGGCCTTGAACGCTTGAGCAAAATGCTGCACGCTACGGAGCAGAGCGAGGTCCAGGGTCATTGCTTCTACCTTGGCTTTATGCTGGAATGAGAGAAAATAAAAAGAAATGATAAATAACAGCAAGTTTAGTTCATGGTATCAAGTTACAGTAAATGTGTTATGGAACATGTCGGAATTCCCCTGTTTAATATTAGACGCCCAGAGAGAATATAAATCATCAAAATGAATGGAAGAACAGGGCTTTTACTGCCAAGTTTAGGGAGGATGTGAGGCCGGGCCTCTGCTGAAACTACAGGCTGGGGGTTGTGCTGCTTCACGCAGCGCACAGGAGAGGCGCCTAAGGGTCTTCAGGCTCCCGTATCGCCTCTCAATCTGCATCCTAAAAAACTGGAGTGATAGGAACACCAGGACACAGCTGGCTGGGGCAAGAATTCAGCTGACAACATTTTAATCTCAAAAGCTGCCATGCAGGTTCTGGAATTACTCCTCCAAGACTGTATCAAAAATTAAAGACAATATAGCCCTAGCTGGTTTGGTTCAGTAGACAGAGTAACAGCCCATGGACTGAAAGATCCCAGGTTCTATTCTCGTCAAGGGCATGTTCCTCAGTTGCAGGCTCAATCCCCGGTCTGGTCAAGGCGCATGTGGGAGGCAACCAATCGATTTGTCTCCCACACATCCATGTTTCTCTCTCTCTCTCTCTGTTTCTCCCCCTCCCTTCCACTCAACGGAAATATATCCTCAGGTGAGGATTAACAACAACAAAAATTAAAGACAATTTATTTATAATAAGTACAAAAGCAGGCAAAAGTCATTTATACAGAAGGATCATGACTGACTCAGATCTCTGGGGTTTAGTAACCCAGAAAACTCTACAGACAGGGCATATGTGGATTATCATAATGATGTTCATAATGGCTACTGTCTATTCAGAGCCTCCCATGGGCTGAGCATTTACATGCACCATGTAGTCTCACCCTCACAACTGAGCAATGAGCTGTATTTTCCATTTTTCAATGTGGCATCTTATAAGAGATCACAGAGGTAAGAAGTGCAGGTAGCAAGCAGAACGTCAAGCCAATCTGACACGAAAGCCCAAGTTCCCTCTTGGAAAGGAACTTGAAGGACTGAAGCAGTCAGGCTTTGAAGCATCACATTCCACTGGACGGCTCCAGCACAATTCTGGAAAGATCAGGGTTGCCTCTCAGACTTGCCTTGTGTGAAAGGCACTCCCAATTTTTAGTTTGGCTGGACTTCAGGGTGTGAGATTCAGTACTGTCAGTTCTTAGACCTACCTCCTCCAAAGATAGGATGCCAGGCCACCTGCCTATTCAGGTAAAAGAGCCCCCATAAAACAAATGGTTGACTTGGGAATTCTTGTCTAGACGGTGAGGCTACAGGAAGACTAAGGAGAATAACAGGACACCTCTAAGGCTAGGAAAGGTGAATGCAAACAGCACTGCTGAGAACATCCTCCAACCGAACTGTCCCATTCAGGGATGGATACAGACCATGCTGGGATGCTCGGTGGATATGGGGCAGTTTATCTTGGCTGCCAAGGTCCTGGGCTCTCACCCAGCTCCCAAGCTTTGAATAATAAACATCAGGCAGAGACAGCTGAGGAGCAGCCTGCCTTGAGGCCAGGTAACATTTCTGAGATTCAATTTCCTCATTTGTAAAAGGTGACTATTAATGACCTACTCACAGAATTGTGAGGATAAGTGTAAAGCACCCGCCTTCCTGTCTGGAAGAGAGGAGGTATTTGGTAAATTTAACTAGAGAGAGATAAAACATCTACTGTGCCCAATTCTTCTCCCGGTGCCAGCCTGCAATAAATGGTGCTTTGGGTAGACTGCCATGCAGCATGGTATTAAGGATATGCAAGGGTCTGCCCTGAAGACCATGGCAGACTAGATGTCTGTTATATCCTGGAGGACCCAGGCCATGTCTAATCACAGAGCCCAGTTCTAGGGAAAGCGGGCAGAGAGTGATTCTATGACTTCCCCAAACCTAACAGCATATCAGTGGCAAAGGGCTGGCCAGTATAGATTTACATTCATTATGCAGTAGCAGATGCACAAACGTTCAGGTTTCAAAAGGAGGAGAAGCATTTAACTTGGCCTAGGAAATGGGAAAAGTGGAAATGCAGTATTTTTTAGGGTTTCCTAAGATCAGGGACGTTCAAGCTGGAGGATCCACAGTGAGGCAAGGCTGTGCACCTCTGTCTAGAGAGCAGGAAATTGCCACCAGGAGAAGTGAATGGACTTGAGTGAGGCTGCACCCGGTGTAGACAGCTTAGACTTCCAGATGAGGATCAAAACCCTGTACACTTTCTGTCTGAATAGCCAATATGTATCTGGTGGTTAAAATCAGAGTGTAAAGTCTGTCAAAGGCTAACTTATTCCCCTGAGTATTCCTATGCCTCAAAAATGTTCATCCACCTGATTTGACCTTCAGAGTTAGCAATAAAGTGTCCTTTCCCCTCATCCTGCATCCCTGGTTCCAGCCTCACTCACTTGGAGCATGACTCTCAGGACCATGCACAGGATCTGACAGAACTCCAAGTGCACCTAAGAGGGGAGTCAGGTGTTTATTCTGCTGGGGAAAGAGGGTAGACGCTACTCCTCTCAGCCAAACCCCAATAAAAACCCCAGGAGATATTATAAAAATGCATGTACATATTTCTGCATTAAATAGGGAGAACATTCCCAGATGGTGACCCTAAAGCAATTTTCCAAGGATAATGATGGCATGGCCAAGGGGGCCTTCACATGCTTCTGTGTGTGTAACTTACAGTTGGCAAGTTGTCTGTTGGTCCTCCCCTTTCACTTTAAAATAATGCACAGAGCTGCCACTACTAATAAGAACAAAATCAGAATGTACACCTCTAGGGGGAACAAGGGGTCACAAACCATCAAGCAGTTCAACAGACTAATCCACAGGCTGTGGGTTACTAGGCTCCTGGGGACAGTGATTCAAGTCTGCACACTATTACTCAGGTAATTCTCCTGCCCTCGGTATCAGGTTTCTGTTTCTACTACCGACCCTGAGAAATGTAGTAAAACTGTGTGCAATACAGTGAATCCAGTGGAAAAACAAAACAAAACACAGCTTTTAGAATGGGGGAAGAGGGTGTTTATGTGTGTGTATTGGGAGATTTGCTTTTCTGACTACCTAAGAACTTTAGCAACTTTACAAAAGTGTTTGGCTCAGTGGATAGAGCATCGGCCTGCGGACTCTAGGGTCCCAGGTTCGATTCCGGTCAAGGGCATGTACCTTGGTTGCGGGCACATCCTCAGTAGGGAGTGTGCAGGAGGCAGCTGATCGATGTTTCTCTCTCATCGATGTTTCTAACTCTCTATCCCTCTCCCCTCCTCTCTGTAAAAAAATCAATAAAATATATTTTTTAAAAAAGTGTTTATAATGAGACATGCTCTAAATGAAAATGCAGGGGCTGGTGGGTCCCATTTTTGAGGGATAACCTGTGGACTGTGAGGTGAAGGCAAGAGTTTCAATTTGCCAGTGTGAGCTTTTCTGCCACGCCTGGCCTTGAATCTGGGACTGACCACAATTCACTTTCATGGTTTAGCTCATGAACTTTTGTTGCTGCTGTCAACTCTGGCTTGGAACTAATTATAGACTCTCAAGAAGTAGTACTTATAGTGCCCACTCCCAGCATCCCCAATGGTGACATCTCAGCCATGATCAGAACCACTACATTGACACTGGCAGAGTGGAATTTATTAGACATCAGACACTTCTAAAATATCACCAGTTTTCAGATGCACTTAATTTCTTTATTTGTAATGCCTTTGTGTATAATTCTGTGACATCTGACCACACATATAAATTCATGTTACCTTCACCAGATTTGAGATACAGAAATGTTCCATCACCACAAAGGAACCAGTGACCTTTCTATCAAGAGGTGCTAGAATTAGCACATGCCATCCAGCCTTGTTTGGCCAGATTTGCTCTCTGGATTGGCTAAACAAAGTCCCAGCTTAAAATCCTTTTGCAGCTCAGAATGGCCAACAACATATGGTCCAGATTCCTCAGCTTGGTTCACACAGAGTCTCTGTGTCAGTCAGCACAGGATTCCATAAAGTACACCACACACACACACACACACACACACCCCAAACCTCTGTGTCTTAAAACACCAAGGATTATTACTCGCTCATGTTCCATATCCATCCCAGGGTGGTGGGGCCATATTCATCATGGGCCATGTTCATCATGGGGTCATGTTCATCATGGGGCCAAGTTCATCATGGGCCATGTTCATCATGGGACCATGTTCATCGTGGGCCATATTCATCGTGGGTCAAGTTCATCGTGGGCCATGTTCATCATGTGGCCATGTTTATCGTGGGGCCATGTTCATTGTGGGCCAAGTTCATCGTGGGCCATGTTCATCATGGCAGCCAGGGCTCAGGCAGATGAAGCCTCTATCTCTATAACATTAGCAACTTCCACGGTGGGGAAAGGAGTCTGGCAATTGCACAGGGTTCCCCATGGCTTCCACCCAGCAGTGACAGAGGCTGCTTCTGTTCACATTTCATTGGCAAAGCAACTCATGTAACTGCACTGTTTGAGAAGGTACAACCCTCCAAGAGCCCAGAAAGAGGTGTATAATGGGGACATATAATGGAGAATGGTAAAGACTATCACATGACATGGCCCTGTCTACCTCTCCAGGCTTTTTTCAGGTCTCTGCCAACTTCACACTTTCATTAGTTATAGAAATTTAAAAGGCTGAAAAAATATGAACAAAATAAATGCATATACAATCTCTCTACCCTAAAATAAACTGTTATCCTTCCACGTGTCGGTCTCTCCTTCCTTTCCTATCTATCTGTCTGTCTGTCTGTGTCTCTAGAGATCTATCCAACCATTCACTTAGCTTTAACAGAAAAAACTTCATACTAAGAATATTGAATCTTAAAATGGTATAAAATGCCTCTCTCAACCATTCCTTAAATCCTTACTTTTTTTTGTCTGGTCACACCAGTACACCAGCTTATCATCTCAGGCAAAACAAGAATGTAAATTTATTTTAAATTATGTATACAGATGCT